CACAAATGATGCTTGAAAAGATACCACAAGAACAGCATTCGGTTGGTAGTGCTTCTGCTAGAATCGGGTGGTTACTTTTGTTAACAGGAAAAGTTCAAGAATCAATACCTTATTTGGAAGATGCAGTTGAAAGATTGAAGGAGAATTTTGGTTCTAGACATTTTGGAGTTGGATATGTGTATAACAACTTAGGTGCTGCATATTTAGAACTAGATAGACCTCAATCTGCAGCTCAAGTTTTTGCATTGGCGAAGGATATTATGGACATTTCACTTGGTCCTCATCATGTGGATTCAATTGAGGCGTGTCAAAATCTTTCAAAAGCATATAGTGCAATGAGAAGGTAAGGCCATGTTTCTTTCTTTTTTTTTTTTCCCATAATTTCTCTTACTTTCTTTGTTAAGTCTTTATCTCTGTATTAAGTCAAAGAGAAACACTCATTTTTGGTTTGTGTTGTGCAGTTATACGCTTGCAATAAACTTCCAGGAGAAGGCGATTGATGCATGGAGAGGACATGGGCCAAGTGCTTGTGATGAGCTTAAAGAAGCTGAACGTGTTCTTCAGGAATTAAAGGTGAAAGCTTGTGGTGAATTTGAGGAACAAAAGGTGTTGCCAGCACATCCTGTGAGGAGAAGAAGCTCACGAAGTGGTGTTTTGGTTGATTAGAGGCATTGAATGTAGATTTGATTATTGGATGAAGTGTTTTGAAGAAACTATACTGCTTATCATCGACTTTCATTAATTATAAGTGTTTAGCAGGAAGCTTTTATTGTGCTCCGATGTTTTTTTGCTTTATTGGCAATAGTAAAGGTAATCTGATGTATGAATTTTGATTGAAAAGAGGAAAAGTTAATATATATAAATCTTGAATTGTTCTGCAACTAATCTGTTATGAAAGTTGAGATTATAACTGTGTTTTTCAACATGTTAGAAAGAGTTTCTTTTAAAGAGCAATTCATGTTCATATTTTATTCTCTTTGAAAGCCTATATATTTCCATTTAGGTGCTATCCTGATAAAACGTTGTCACGATAATTTGATAGATGATGTTTAGAGAGTAGTTGAGAAAATGTGGCAAATCCAAGGGAAATGGAAAGTAAAAATATATGAGGACATTTTTATTAAAAGTTAGGACTAAGTTCTTTGGAAGCTGTTAGATAGGTGTTACTATCTTTAATAAATATTAGGGGCAATGAGGCATTAGACTTAAATATCATCAAACTCACCAAGATCTAGTAAGAAATGGAACAGTTGGAAAAAAGACAAATAGATAGAAGTGACCTGTGTGCACTTCTATGTTCAAGTGACATTCTAATTTTTTTAACATCTAAGCAATTGTTTTTCACTTTAGGTTTGACCGTTTGACTTTAATCTTCGTGAATGTTGTCTCAAGCGGTAATAAGTTTTGGTTGTTTGCTAATCTCTGAATAATTTAGTAATGAATTAAAAATTATCATTTTAACTTAGCAATCTAACATATGAAAGCAAGAAATGATAATTTATATAATGCTTTTTGAGGAATTACACCAGACAAAGGTGCGCTCAATGGATGATTTTGATTGGTTGGTCACAATTGATCGTTGCAAACGGTCGAAAATCTGATTTTTTAATTTGTTTTTTCTCTTTAAACTTTAATACCTATTTAAACCATTTAACCATTCTCATTTTTTATACTTATCTACTACATTACATTTCAAAAAATTCAAAAAAATGTATTCGTCTGATTCTTCTGAAGAGTTTGATGTTATGTATGATATGTTTGTCGCTGATGCTATATCTGCGGAACAAATATATAAAGCGACATGCAGTAGGGCATCTGCCAGTGCTGAACAGAGAACATGGAGATATATTTTTAGAGACCGTGAAGATGCAAACCAATGTCTAATACACGACTACTTTCAAGAAAATGTCACTTTTCAAGAATACTACTTTAAAAGACGCTTCAGAATGTTCAAATCATTGTACCAACGTATAGTCGAAGATGTAAGTAACAAGGGAGTGTATTTTTTCAAGCAACGGCCCAATGCTAGAGGTACATCTGGTTTCACCCATTTACAAAAATGTACAGTTGCACTTCGTCAGTTAGCATATGACACCCCTCCTGATGCGTTGGACGAGAGTTTTAGGATGTCAGCTAGGACCACAAGAGCTAGTCTACACTATTTTTGCAAAACTATTATTCAGTTTTATGGTCCAAAATATTTACGTAAGCCTACACGCAATGACATCATGAAATTGCAATCTTATCATGCTAGCGTACATGACTTTCCTGGAATGTTAGGAAGTTTAGATTGTCTACATTGGGTATGGAAAAATTTGTCTTGCCTCACACCATGGTCAATTTACTCGAAGTGATCATGGGCATCCAACGGTCATACTTGAAGCGGTGGCATCACAAGATCAGTGGATTTGACATGTTATTTTTGGTTCTTCTAGATCCCTCAACAACATTAACGTTCTTAATCGGTCACCTATACTTAACAACATATACGACAGATATGCACCAAATTCTTCTTTCCAATTACGTGGAACACCATACAAATATGATTATTATCTAGTTGACGGGATTTATCCTGAGTATGCAGTTTTTGTTAAATCGTTTACGTGTCCGAATGATGTTCGACGGAAAAAATTCAAGAAAAGCTTAAGAAAGATCTAGGAAGGATGTCGAGCAGGCTTTTGGAGCTCTCAAGAAACATTGGTTGATATTGAAAAAACCAGCAATTTTTTTCATCAAGGAAAAAAATGCATGAAGTCATGTATGCATGTATAATACTGCATAATATGATTATCGAAAATGAAGGAAGAGCGATATGCGAGTATGATGAAGAGGAAACCATTCCCGTGATACAAGTATTAGAAATTTGGGGCGACGAGTACATTGAAAAGAGAGTAGATGTTCGTTGCAATGAAACATTTCATAATCTTCGTATGGATTTGGTGGAACACATTTACAGGATCCAAAACATTGACCTCAATTTGGATTCGGAGGATGACCCGGAAGACGAGTTCTCGGAGGACAACTTCATGTAGTGCGTTTATTTTAAATCGTTTAATGTATGTTTTTTTGAGTTTGTAGGTTTAAAATTTCTTGTGTGTGTGTGTGTGTGTTTTTGAAGTTTGTAGGATTTCTATTTGGGCAATGGAAGGTAATGTTATTTTTATTTTGAAGTAATGAAATGAATGATTTTTTATTAAAATTATAGTTTTTATTTAACTAACACCCCCCCCCCCCCACCCAGTGTGGAATCACTCCTTGGGTGTGTGGTATGAGACCACACTTTAGTGGTAATGAGTGAGGCGACGCCTATGTGTCACTGCGGTTTCATGAGGGAGCGCGACACCACTCCCTCCAGCCTAAGAACTACCAAAAACACGCATATGGATGAATTTGATTTGGAGGGTTTCTTAAAATCAGTTAAGGAGAGGATGACAGAGGATGCATGTGTAGGTGATGTTATAGGCCCATAAGACCCAATTTCGAAGAAATTAAAGAAGTTAGATCAAACGATTGTTATAAATAGATCATTTTGTAACGATTGTAACACTTATGCAGAAAGCGTGTGTATTCGGTAACATCTTTCTAGTTTGTCTGTGGACATAACTTGATTGTTCTATTCAAATAAACCATGTTAAATAATTGTGTTCTTATTGTTCTTCGCATCTTTATTATCATATTTGTACTTGTTTATTGAAGTCCCTAATTAATCCTAGCACAGACGACTCCTGTATGCCAGTGTTAGTGATTGATAATTTCAAAATAAATGATTATTGTCACCGGAATCATTCCGGTGATTGGTCAGGGAAACAATTTGGATCTATCACCCTATTGAATTGGAGTAATGCTAAATCTCATATTAATATTTTTTTATGCACATGTTACGTGTTAATAATAGTTTACGTACTGACTATTGAATGTGTATTAGAATACGATTAGTGATTACCCTTTTTTTAGAATATAATTTAGTATTTTTAATAGAGTAGGATTATATTTTGGAAAAGATATATAGAAATGTTCTATTTGGATGAATGTCTATATTCTCCGTCTTTATAAGCAAAAGAAACTTGAAAGACCAGCAACCAAACCAATCATTATCAATCATCCTTGGAGATTACTCAAAGTAGGACTATAATGGTCAATTCCACAAGCAATAATAACTTGTACATCATATAATGTAAGTGGTACCTCCCATCTTCAATTCTAAACGGGTCCCTCCTTTGTTGAACCATGCTTATCAGCTTTTATGTTCGACTAATTAACTTCTCCAAACCACATTTAATACACCAAGTTATTTTTAATGGAAAAAAACTAAACAATACCATCTTCCTTGCATTTATTTCAAAAGATTTGTTTTCAAACCATTATGTTTACTAATTAATAAATTATATTACTTTCAACTATGCTTGGAATTAGTATCAATTGTGTGATTAAACAAACATGACCGGATTTACAAATAATGTTACATAAAATTCTTCTTATTTAAATAATTCATAAGTACGTTAGCAGTTAGCACTTTGCCATTTGAAATTTCCATTTAAATTATTTAACAAGCCGACTTTTCATTAAACAATAGTTCCAAACAACGATATAAAATATCTATGAGGACCACCATTCATGTTAGCCATGTTGAACCTAATACAAATAAAACATCAAATTTCAATTATTGTTTAATCGAGATAAAAATTCCATTTAAATTATTTAAATAAAATGTAATGATTTTCATTCATGAAAACATCTGCAAGCCAAAGTGGTATCAGAAATCATTCTTACATCCCATGCTACCAAACCCTAAAACCCTATCTTCTTTGTGTGTAATCTTTATGTCATTGCTTTAGACAACTACGTTAATCTTTGTAATCACTTACATAAATCCTTTAAGAACTCTTAACCCAAATGAAAAAAAAAAAAATCAAGAAAAACAAATTTAAAATCCAATCAAAATAGAAGGAAAAAAAAAAAAAAGAACACGATTCATCTCATCTATACGCAACACACTAGAGCTAGATAGGAAGAACAGCATTTCTTGATCCTCTACCATTTCCAAACGAGAAGAAAGGTCTTCTTGTTCTTCCACTCGTACTTCCCTCTTCATTGTTTCTGATTTGTTGTAGGCTTCCATTGTTTTGTATGATTTCCTGAACCGATAAATATATATGGCGATCAATTGCTGAATCCATCGAGAACGATCTCCGAATCGGTTCGATAGAAAACTGCTCATCTTTTCCCCTAATATCAATGTTCTCATCTCCCATAATCGAAACATGATGACATTTTCTTGTTTTCGCTCTCTTCCCTCCAATCTTTCTTGGAGAATGAGGTCTAGATTGTTGTGATCTTGACCCATGGCCCTCGTCACCCAACTCAATCACCAAGAAATCTTGATTCCTGGCAATGGGGCTCATTTGAGGATCTTGAGGTGAAGAACTTGGTGCAATTATCTTGCCTTTTGGATACCTTGTGTTACCTGAAATGCTCAATCTGCAAAGAGGGCAATTCGCATTGTTCTGAAGCCAAATGTCAATGCAGTCTAAATGAAACGCGTGGTTGCAGCTTGGAAGAACTCTTAACGTATCCATTTCTTGAAAATCATTCAAACAAACAACACATTCGTATAAACTCCTCTTCTCGCCTTCACTTTCTGTGTATTGAAAAATGGGGATCTCGCGGATTAGTACTTCATCGAGTCCCCGAACCTGCCATGGAGGAGTCGAGTATGGAGATGATAACGGGTCGGGTGTGGATCGTTCTCGGGACATGGAAAAGCGTCTTAATGGGTTCACTTGTTGCCAGTTGAAGCAGCCTCTGGTGACGAAAAAGTAGTAGGAAACGAGCAAGAAAGCAGTTGCTACGATGCAGAGTGCTGCAATGGCTAAGACTGGGAAACCAGAGGTTGATGGATCAGATTGGTAGGTAGACTTTTGTTGAACCTTGATTGACTGTTGATAATCCATTTGGATTAAAACTGGAATTTGAGTTTTTGAGGAATGGGGGTTTGCAAGATCTTTCAAGGAACAGTTGCCCCAATTTGAAGGTGCTCTGTGGGTGGGGGGATGAAATCAAAGATGGGTCAGCTGTATGAACTCAAAAAAGTCAACATCATTAAGAAAAGGAGTTGAAGTACATAAAGCAATAAATGAGTGGGGATGTTATCAAGAGACACATGGTTGCTTCAATATGGAGATCGTAAAACATGGAGAGGGTTGACTCAATGACAATGTGCTACATGGAGTTGACTATTGAGAGAGAGAGAGAGTACATCTTATTTATTTTTAAATTTAAATCAATTAAGAAACATAAAATAAACTTAAAAATAATATACAAATTACTTTATATGATTTTGGACCAACTATGTAAAGAACTAAAAATATAAAAGTCATCAAAGTTAATAACTAAATCTATTATTTGTTATAGAACACGGAGTAAGTTACTAAATATAGTAATATAAACAATTGTTTATTCGTTGACCAAACAAAATGTTCTAAACCAAATACACAACATTATTGTTTGGGTTTGGCTATTTATTTGGGCTTTGGAACTTGGGATGAGGTTGCCCCAAATTCAAATTTGATATTGGATTAGTAAGTATCATCAAATAACCAATCCACCATACTAAAAAGGGAAAAGTTCTTATTGGTGAATGGTGACTGGTGTATGTAATTGTAAAGCAGCGGAGCATCTTTCCAAATTGGGAATAGAAGTCAAAATAATATCCGACGACAAATTCCATCTTCGTCGGTTCTTTGTCATGATTCCATCACAGAAATTGCTGAACTATAGCTCGACGCTTCCGATTTGATGGCCAATGACACTATTTAAATCCCCACCAACTGCAATTACAAAATTAAAGATTTCAGTCCAATGTTCATCACAAAAAAGTCAACTGTCCAGGCCTTTAATTAAAATGGCTATATTACAGCCATAATTTACCATCTTAATCTTGCGGATCAACGACCATGGAGACTCTAGTTTCAACCTGGTCCAGAACTGCTCAAATCTTACCGGAAAACTATGTCTTCCCCATCGATGAAAGGCCTGGTTCTGTCGAGGTTCCTATATGCCAAAACATCCCGTTGATTGATCTGGCTGAAGGTCAAAGTCAAAGTCAAACAATTGACACAATACTTGCTGCTTGTGAAGAATTCGGCTTTTTCCAGGTTAGATCGTCAATTGTTTATATATTTGAGAGCTTTTGAAGTTGAATTATGCAATCCGATATAACCAGGTGATCAATCATGGAGTTTCTGAAGATCTAATTGATGATACAATGAAGGTGGTCAAAGATTTCTATGATATGCCGGATGAAGAGAAGGCGAAAGTATATTCGATTGATCCTAGTAAAAGTTGCCAACTTTACACTAGCAGTTATACCTATGCTGATGAAAAAGTTCATTTTTGGAGAGACAATTTGCGACACCCTTGTCACCCTTTAGATGAATGCATTCACTTATGGCCCGAAAAACCTACCAACTATCGGTAAAAAAAACCCTAATCGCTATCTTCAAGTTTATTGTTTCTTGAAGATTAATGTTTCTTATTGCTTTTTGTAGCAATGTTGTTGGGAAATATTCATTGGAAGTGAGGAAGTTGTCGTTAATAATGTTGGAGCTAATTCGTGAAGGACTAGGACTCAAACCAGGATATTTTGGAGAAGAGCTAACTGGGTCTCAATCGTTGTCGGTCAACCACTACCCTCGGTGCCCAAATCCTAGTTTGACATTGGGATTACCGAAACACGCTGATCCCAATGTCATAACAGTGCTTTTACAAGGAAGCGTTTCTGGGCTTCAGGTTTTCAAGAACGGTCGGTGGTTGGGTGTTGAGCCACTGCCTCATGCTTTTGTGGTTAATATCGGTCACCAATTACAGGTGACCATTAATACAACTATCTTTGTTTTTAAAATTGTTCACCTTTTTGACTAGGCTAGTAACAAATTGTTAAAATTGTGTTGTAGATAATTAGTAACGGGAAGTTGAGAAGTGCAGAACATAGAGCAGTGACAAACTCAAGGGAAGCTCGAACCACAATCGTGAGCTTCATCAATCCTTCTCCCGACACCATTGTTGAACCAGCAAAATCAATGATTAGTGATGGTGTTCCTCTTTATCGAAGCTTCAAATTTAAAGACTTCCTTAAATTCTATGAAGCGAAGAAAGGAGACACCGAAGCATTGATGGAGGCTTATAAGATCAAACCTTAATCGTACTTGTATATCTATGGCTCTATGTTACATATAATGTATCAAGGAGAATTGATAATCATGCTCATTTACAGTTGTAATATATTTTGACAACATCCATTCTATGTATAGCTCCTTTAATTATGCTTTGCCAATTGTACCAAGTCCTATATATATGTACCTTTGTATTTATGAATAATACATCACTCCTTTAGCCTATTTATGGTATCAAAATTGTTTCTGATCTAGCGAGTCTCGATCCTTCTTCCCTTCTCGTAAGTCGTAACCCTATCTCAACTGTTATCATGGAACCCTCTAAAACTATTGTCCAACTCATAGCCACAAGCCTCTTTTCGATCAAACTCACAGCCACAAACTTCCGAATGTTGCACAAATAAGTTCAATCATCCCTCACCGGGCTTGCCCTAAATGGCTTCATCAATGGTCTTAGCACACCACCATAAAAAATCATCACTGACAAAGATATTACCAAGCCGAGCCCTGAATACATAATTTGGTATCGTCAAGACCAGATTATATTTAGGATAATATTCGAAAGCTGTTCTGACACCATTAAGCCAATTCTCACTTCAGCCTTAACTGAAAATGAAGCATGGGATCGATTAAGCACAAATTATGCAAGTCAATATCGTTCCAGAATTATATCCCTCAAGTCCAAGATCGCAAAGAACCCCAAAGGAAATCTTCCTATTGCATATTTTCTCAATGACATTAGAATGATTGTTGGTGAACTTACAATTACTCGAAGCCCCATCGATGAGGAGGGTCTCATGGTTCACATACTAAGCCAAATTAGAGATGAATATGGAACAATCACAGCTGCCATCAAAATCAAGGAATAATCGATCTCATTCTCCGAACTTTTTGATAGGTTTTAAGCATAACAACATCCTATGTGTTCATGCACCCCTAATTTCTTTGGATATAAGTTTTTTACAAATTGAACATGCAAAAGAAATTCCAAAGTAATAACCCTATATCTAGCATATATAATTCGAAATTCACATAAGAAAAGGGTTATGAAGATTACCTTGCTTGCTATATAGTAATAAAAAGAATTCCAAGCTTGAACTTAACCTTTGAAAGCTTAGTTCCCCAAATGTTGCACCTTTAATGGCTCACAAACACTTGTAGCAAGAGGAAGAGAAGGAGAGAAGAGAAAACTCTTAGAATTTTGGCTAGGGTTTCTTCTATGAAGCAGTTGTCAAAAACCATATGCATAAGGGTCTTTCAATAACTGAGGTTGTTAGGGTTTTTCAGATGGAAACCCTAATCTCTTGCTTAGGCCCTAAACAGTCCATGGACCTCCACTTTTAGAAGCCTTGGAAGAATTCTATAGGGCCTCCCTAGAGATTTCATCCAACCCATCAAAGAGGAGTCCAGTAGCCCAGTTGTGCAACAATCAATGATTTGCAAAACACCCCCATTCTTTTAATTAGTTTCTTTAATCCCAAAATTAATTCCAAATTAATTTTTTATTAAATACTAATTAAATAATATGATTTCTAATTAATATATTATTTCCATAATATATTAATAAATTATTTATTAACTTCTCTCTCCATAAATTATCATGCAAGTTGCTAAAGTAAAGACAACTCAAAAGGACCATGCTACTATCAAATCAAGTTCATACCAATATGGGATTAGACACCTAATCCAACAGTCTCCCACTTGGATAAGTCTAATAAATATAATTGCAAGTATGACTTCAGAATTTGATCAACAATCGTAGCTCTCAAAAGCCGATGTCGAACTCTAACATAATCAGTTGTGTGTCCTTAAGATAAGAGACCATATAATCTGTAACGCCCGCAGATCCGGGATAGTCAATTTAGAGACAATAAGCATCAAAAACTACTTTTTAATAGAAAATTATTTAGAATAAATAATCTTACCCAAGTTATATTATATGTCACAAGGGTTCCGTACATATGAAGAATGTCGAAATCCGAGTTATAACCAAGAAGTTATGACTTGTCGAAGTTTTACGGCAAAACCAACACTGCACCGGGAATCGTAAAAAATGATTTTTTTGATAAAATACTTTTTATCCTTAGAGATCTAAATGAAAGTCATAGTATACGTTAAACCGAGAGCGTGCATAAAAAGAACGCCAAAATCTGACTTCGTATGAGGAAGTTATTATTTTTCTAAGATTTGGCATAACATTGCACAACCCGGAATTTGAATTTTAGATCAAGCAGTTTTTGGCCAACGTGACCTAAATGAGAATTCAAGATCTCATTAATAGGAGCTCAACGAAAAAAAAGATAAACGAAAACGGAGTCCGTATGTAGAAGTTATGAATTCTACACGGTCATTTAACAGTGTAATCTTTTCACACTGTTAAATCTAGAATCGGATGAGAATCAGCCAACGGAGTCAAAAGAAGAGTTGTAGATCTTGACAATACCTACGAGTGGATATAAAGAACATTGAAAATGGAGCTCGTATGCGAAAGTTACGATGTTTAGAAGTCGGGAGTGTGCTACTGCAAAGGGGGTGACGTGGCGCAATCTGAGCCATTGCTTTCTCCCTAAGGCTAGCCACCTGATGGTGACATGTGGCATGGACTCGATGAGTAGGTCCTCCTACTCGACGATTTGGGCTGTTTCCCAGCCTATAAATAGAAGTGTCGGGTGAAGCTCATTTCTCACACCTCCCACTTCTACTTTATCTCTCTAAACTCTCTCTCTCTCAACCCCCCCCCCCCCAAAGCCTAGGGTAACTCCCTAGGATGAGGCGGAAGC